CTACATATGTTGAGTTAGAATGTAAATACTGTCTGGAAAAAAAATTCTTATTTAAAGAAACAGGACTTTTAGAATCATGGATTCTGTGAGTTAACTGGTTGGGTGGGTGTTTGTCTGTGTCAGGCTCTGTCTCAGAGCAAGGTGATCCTAACTTGCACCAGACAAGAGCTCACCTCATTTCAGACACTAAAGAATCAACTCATGGAGCCAGAAGTCTGTCTGGTGTGGATTCTCCGATGTCTAATAAGGGGCAAATATCCCAACCAAAACAGAGCAAGTCAGGCCATCAGAAGCAGGAAAGAGATTCCAGGAGAGCAATCTGAATTTTGTCTGTAAACAATAAATGTGTGAATGCATAGATTTTTTTTTCAGGCAGCACAACAATTTTCAGTAGCCATTTGAGAGTCCTCAGAGATTTTTTTTCAGAAATGGCTGAGCACATGTTTTCTGAAATTTGTGAATACTTTAAAACATTTCAAGATAGAAAGCACAAGTCAAGGTTCCCCATGGCACATGTGCTGGTACAGAATTAGTACTCATTTATATACAGTAAGCCTCCATGCACTCTGAAGTACACAGTCTGCATTGCTGTGACACAAGATTAAACTTCATTATTGTCCTGCTTTTAATTGCTAACAAGCATGAAAATTACCCTGGCCATTTCCTAAAGAATCAACTGGTTGCTTTCCTCTGCTTATACAATCCACTAATTTAATTTGAGAGACAAAAATCAAGGAGGGAAGGTATAGAGCAATATATGCATCTGTTTGCTGTATTAGGTATCTTTTAACATGTGTCTTGTATAATAAGAGGAGACTTTGTATTTTAAGCAGTTTAGAAATAATGCAATTTTTTTTTCATTTAAATATACAACAGTAAGTGATCTCAGTCACTGGTAATGCTTTCTGACATGCAATTTATTATGGTGCTGAAGTAGATTCTGCAGAGCCCAGGGGATACAGCTCCTTTAAGCACCTTTGTGGAAACAAATCTTATTATCAATGAGTGTTTTAGACTAGTATTTCTCTTCACATCTTGGCAAGACATTAATTTTATTGCTCTCCTATTTATTTCTTTTCTGGTTACGAATGGTATATGGATCTTGTGAGGAGGAGGGAATAGACCAGGACAGACCATATTTCCCTCTGTGTTTATTCTGAGTGTGAGTCTATTTGTTTTATGTGTTATAGGAAGCAGCCATCAGCTGCTGGATCCAATTCAGTGATGGATCTGTCATGCCCCTGGATATTTATGACTCCAAAGACTTCTCCTTGTCAGCTACATCTCTGGATGAGAAGGTGGTCTCCATTCAGCATGACCCCAAATTCAAGTGGCCTGTGATTGCTGCTGAGACAGAGGGTCAGGGGACCCTGGTGAAGGTAGAGATGGTGATCAGTGAATCTTGCCAGAAATCCAAAAGGAAGAGCATCCTAGCTGTTGGAAGTGGAAGCATTAAAGTCAAGTTTGGGCAGAGTGACTCCAACCCTAACATCAGTGACAGCAAACACAGGGGTGTCCACCTAGACAACCATGCCAGTGACCGGCGTCTGAAAAACACTCTGCAGGAAAGAGATGGGCAGTACTACAGCTCCTCCATGGGACACGAGCAGGGCAGAGGAACCACCACTCAAAGGTCTATTCTGAGTAAAAAGGAAGACAGAGAAAGCCTCCTGGATGATGACAGCCAGAACATGCCAATAGACTTCACGAGCTTCCCCGCACAGGTGGATCTGCCAAGAAACAACGGAGACTTGGAAGAGAATGACCTGGTACAGTCACCTAGGGGACTCAGCGATCTGGAGATAGGAATGTATGCTCTCCTAGGAGTCTTCTGCCTGGCAATCCTGGTCTTCCTTATCAATTGTGTCACTTTTGCTTTGAAGTACAGAAATAAACAAGTTCCTTTTGAAGAGCAAGAAGGCATGAGCCACTCTCATGACTGGGTTGGGCTGAGCAACAGGACAGAACTTCTGGAGAATCACATAAATTTCTCATCCCAACAAGATGAACATATCACAGCCATTGACAGAGGAGTGGACTATGAAGAGAGCAAATATCTCCTCAACACAAATGCCACCAAAAATATTAATGGACAATCTTTCAGGTCTACTGAGTCCACATTCACTGAAGGGAAAGAACAGAAAGGTGAACCAACTACTTCTCCTACCTCTAAGAGGAAACGGGTTAAATTCACCACCTTTACCACCATCTCCTCTGATGATGGGTGTCCAACTGTCAATTCAATCTTGATGAGTAATGAGGATGACATTAAATGGGTCTGCCAGGATATGGACCTGGGGGAATGCAAAGAACTTAAAAACTATATGGAGAGATTACACGAAAATGCATAACGAGACACAAAAGACTATTTTGTTTGGTTTGTTTGTTTATTTGTTTTTCACTCACCTTCTGCCTTTAATTTTGGGTAGTGGGGCAAAATGTTGTATTGCTAACAAAAATCAGCTGGTGGATAATAACTCAATGGAGCCCCAAGAAGCCACCCAAAAGCAGCTGGGAGAGCAGAGATCCTGGACAGCTCTTAAAATTCAAGATTTCTCTGTGCTCAGAGATGGGAGTGAGAGATGTGTGTGGTTTTTTTGATACATGGTAACATGAAAAAAAAACTTAGCAAATAATATGGTCTCATTCTCTGAGCTTTCCCAGGAAATCAATAAATATAACAAACTCCAGTGCAGTTTGGATATTACAAAGTTCACACAGCTCTACTGTTCAATATTGCAAGCTTTGGTTAAAAGCAAAAAAATTGGTCTCAGAATAAATAGATCCACGCAAAGAGCATGTTGTTCACGCCACGTGCAGAGAATATCCATCCAAGAACATTAATTTAAACCTGACAAAACCCAACAGTGTGAGCAAAGCAGCTCCCAGAGCTGAAAAGTCATGAGTTTCCAAAGAATCTGGAGGGGGAAAAGGAGTAACTGGGCTGTTTACAAACCAGCATGTTTGCCTCCCAAGCACTGAGAATGGATACACATATACAGTTCCAACTGAAACTCTCTTTTTAAGTAGATGCCAAGGTAATAAACTTTGCCAGCCAATTTTCAGTATTTCTTAATTTGTAAAATAGGAGAAGATATAGTCTATACTCAGAATATCACTCATATTAAGGAAGGTCTGTTTTGAAAGTTTGAGAGAACGAGCTATTTTTAAAAGCCCACTTTCTTTGATTGTCCTGGTTCAAATTTGTATTCCTAGCCATTTCCCTGGAGTTCTCCCCATCTGATATCCTGAGGGCACTTACTAGCATCAGTCACCTTTGGAAGTGTGTGGTTCCCTTCTTCTCTTCCATGCACACTCACTCCTCCACCATGTGCTCTTGCCAAGCACAGATCCTGTTAGTACCATGCTGGTACTTGCTTTACATGCTGTCATTTACCAAAGCTGGCCACAATCTCTGGGCAGGTGTAACTTGTGCTGAGCTGGGGCACTAACAGCAACTGCCTCTTTGTCCATCCTCTCCTCTGGGGGAGGTCAGATTGTTCAGTTCCTTCTGCTCATGCCTCCTTAGGTCCCTGCTCAGCACGTTTAGAGGGCACTCAGAGGTCACAGAGAAGTGCTGCACATTCAACTTTGAAACCTGAGCAGCTCAACTCAGTAGATAACATTTGTTTCTCCCAGAGGTGATGATTATCTTTTGTTTTCTTCTGATAAGGATGTACATACGGTAGGATTTCAGTGATTACCCTTCCAATCCCACCTGCCCTCCAGCCCCAAAAACCATGACATTTTTTGTGAGGTCCAAAAGCAGTCTCCAATGGCCAGTGGCAAAGTGCCAAAGCACTAACTAAAATCCAGCTTATATTTCAAATTTTCCTTTATTTTCCAGAGTAAGCCCTTGCCCTCTTTTAATTATTAAGTCTCTTCCCATCATTGAATCTAGGTTATTCAGTTAATACACACCCACCCTCCCACAAACACTTAGACTGAATCCCTCTATATTTAGAATGTACTGTAGATTGTAAGAATGTAATATATATATTTATAAACATGCCAACTCTGAATAAAATTTGCATTTTAGTGGCTTCATCTTTTTTCCTACTCTGAACGCCTCTTTCCTTTCCCTGTCAGAACATTTACCCTAAAAGACACTGGCAGCAATATAGACACATGTCCTTTGATGAAGGCCCAACCTAGTCACCAAGTTTTACATTGTGCAGTGTTGGAGGAGAACATTGCAACATCAACAACATGTTATGCTACAAATGTATATGCACCAAGTCACCCTTCCAAGATTTGAAAATATTTGCAAATAAATCCACATACATATTTCTAGCCTAAAAATCCCAATATGTGAGTTTTTGGGTTTGGTTTTTGGTTTCCTTCTGTAGCCTAAAAATCCCAATATGTGAGTTTCTGGGTGTGGTTTTTGGTTTCCTTCTATTGGGAAGATCCAGATTTGAATCAACAACTTTGAAGGCAATTTTAAAAAAAGGTAACTAGTGTAAACAGGGCGAATGTGCCCAAAGCTTTAGATATCAGTACTTGTGTATCAGATGGTCTTTGCTTTCTTTCAACACTTCTCTTCAAGGCCTGGGTGACCCAGTGCAGGATGAGGTGCAGCAGTGAGGACAGCACAGTGTAAGATCCAGACTAGCTCTGAGTGAGCTCTCAGGTGAGGGAAGGAACCTTGATGCTGCAGCAAGGCACAGCAGCCTTCCAGCAGGTTCAACCATGCTCTAGCTCACAGTGTTGCTTCCAATTCTGGAGTTATTTTGGGTGCTTTTTACACATCACTGCATGGTGCCCACAGAGACTTGCCCTCAGGGATGTGGTGGGCAGGGTAAAATGTCCAGATCTCAGTTGGCAGCCTGCACAGATCAGACATTGCCTGCGTGCAAAGTTGTCTTTCAAACGCGTCACTGCTTGGCCAACCTCCCTCCTTTGGAAGAGCAGGTACAAGGCACACTGGGAGCAGCCTGTCAGAACTGCTCTGCCAACAAGCTGCTCTGGTAAATCCAGATTTCTGTGTTAGCTGCCTCTGGGGAACAGGAGGAACTAACAGCAAGTTCATCTGGTAGCACAAACCTCTGAAATGTTCTCCTAGGACAAACAGCCACCAGCTACGGCGCTAAGGATCCTGCCACGCAGATTTGTGCCTGTCTGCTTGCTCAGAGGTCCCTGCTGTGTCTAACAGCTGTAGCTTGCTATTATCCATAGGGCAATGCTGTAAATAATACATAGGATTTAGAGTGCTCTTTGTCCATAGATCTCACAGTGCTCGGAGCAAGGTGGATTCCTTATTGACGTGGAGAACCCCAAGGTTCAGTGATTTGCCCAAAGTAACACTGGAAATCTCTGGCAGAACCACACTGAGCAGGACCCTGAGTTCTGCTCAAGTTGAAGCCAGAGTGAATTGTGGCCACCTGTGTGCAAGCTAACACCCTTAATTGATCTGCTAACAGCAGAATAAATCAAATCCCTATAGAGATTTTTGTTTGCATGTATGTATTTATTTGTTGGGAGGGGAGTGTTTGTGTATATTCACTTTTTGCATTGCACAGAGCTCACACTTTTAAGTGAAAACTTCTGCACCATGGAGCATCCCAAGGGACAAACCATGTGTTTCAAGCAATCAGGTGAGAGTCCAATTGGCAAATGAGGGGCCTGATTCCTATTCCCCATTATAAAAGCAATGATGTCGTTTAGCTGCTGCATAACACTTTGCAGCTGTGGCTCCCATTGGCAATCTCTCCAGCCTGATAAAAAGCCTTGCTGACTGCAAGCACTCTCCTGTGAGAGTTATCAAGTACTTTCTCTTTGTTTTCCTCTGTGGTTGCCTCCTTTTTTTCATGTTTGAGGCTCTTTTTGTGTGAGCAGATAGATTGATACAGGCATGTTGAGAAGAAAAAAAAGAAAATTTATCTGATGCTGTTTGGTTCTTTTTAGAGATTGCATGACTACAATCAGGACTAGAAACTCATAGGTCCTATAAATCAGGTAAGCTGGTTCTTTACTGTCTTCCTTCACTTTAAAAACTTCTCCTACATCTGTCTCAAATATATAGAGTTTAGACCAAGCTGTATTAACACACCAGTGAATTCGGTCTGAGCAATGCAGCTAAACAATTGGTTTGAAATAAGAGTTCTATGGAGGTAAGTGACTTGAGAAACCAGAATAGGTATTAAATCGATGTGCAGCCTGCACTAGGAAGCTCTAGAAACTCCTTTCACACCTCATTTCCATAATGAATGAGATGCAAATGAAATGAGCACACTGGAGACACTTTAGTTCGGCTCTGTGTATGTTCAGCTTCTCCAAGACTGCCTGCACTCAGTCTCCTGAGGGCTGGGGGGCTGTTAAATTGTGGAAGATCCTTAGTGAGAGCTAAAGGACTCATGTACTACAGCTTGGAAGAGCTGTTCACATGTGTCAGCTAGGAGAGAGTGTTGGTTGGACTCATATTTGTATTGATCAAAGTCCAGTAAGCATCACTGAGGAATTAGCTGAGGGAAGAAGCTATTGCTGCCAAATGGTGTGTTTAGAAAATGCCTCAAGCATTTAGAAAAACTTCTCTGAGAGGAATTTATTTAGTCCTGAAAGGCCTGGAACTCTGTCACACATTTTAACATGTTTATTGTAGTACCATATCCATGCACAGCATCAGAGCACTGCAGTGATACCTCTTCCTGCCTGCAGGACAATGCTGCCAGCTGAAATTGGCTCTCCCACTGCCAGCACTCACTAGCAGAGATACACAAGATGATGAACCTGTTAGGAGTAGGAGAAACTTGTGTCTCTCTCAATCAACCAACAGGTTGTTTGGTACCAGCCTGAGCTTCCCACACTGCTCTATCTGGCTCCAGTGTGATCTGCCTCCTTGAGGACAAGTAGGAGACCAAGAAAGTTTGAAAACGAGTTGGGATATCACCTGCAAAGTACTGAGGAGGTAGGAATTGTATTCTGCTTCCAGTTAATTTCTGTTTGATAACTCACAGGTGGAATTTGCTTATGCTCTTACTACCAGGGGTATGTTTAGGGACCTTTCTGAGTGGGTGTTTGGCCTCCAACATGCATCATCTTCCTCATGCTTAGATAAGGTCTCTTTCCTTTGAAATTAGTGAGTGTACCCTTTGACTTCTTAGTGAAAACTTTAATAGATGAAGTTCAGAAAGGGCAGCACTAATGTCCTGAGAAGAGCAGAGTATCTGGTACCTTGTTCCCATCATCAGGAGTATTAGGAGGGCCAAGGTTATATGAGTCAAGCAAGTATGCCAGAAACAGGATCATTTTCTACCTTTTTTGCTGATTTGATATGAAGACCTCTGTCAACAAATCCTTCATTATGCAGGCTTCCTGCTCCAGCTCTGTGAGGAACAGCAAATTAAGCAGC